GCGCAGCCCAGGTGGAGAGCAGAGGGGAGGTGGGGCTCGGGGGAGCGCGCAGCCTCTTTGGAGAGCCGCAGGGCCACCACCCGCGCCTGAGCCTTGGATCCCTCAACGTACTGCGAGACGCCGGTGTACAGCCCGGACCTGTGCCCCAACATGATCGCCGCCCAGGCCAAGCTGGTTTACCAGCTCAACAAATACTACACCGAGCGCTGCCAGGCGCGCAAGGCGGCCATCGCCAAGACCATCCGAGAGGTCTGTAAGGTGGTCTCGGACGTGCTCAAGGAGGTGGAGGTGCAGGAGCCCCGCTTCATCAGCTCGCTGAGCGAGATCGATGCCCGCTACGAGGGGCTCGAGGTCATCTCGCCCACCGAGTTCGAGGTGGTGCTCTACCTCAACCAGATGGGCGTCTTCAACTTCGTGGACGACGGCTCGCTGCCGGGCTGCGCGGTGCTCAAACTCAGCGACGGCCGGAAGCGCAGCATGTCCCTCTGGGTGGAGTTCATCACCGCGTCCGGCTACCTCTCGGCGCGCAAGATCCGCTCTCGCTTCCAGACGCTGGTGGCCCAGGCGGTGGACAAGTGCAGCTACCGGGACGTGGTCAAGATGATCGCCGACACCAGCGAGGTCAAGCTGCGCATCCGGGAGCGCTACGTGGTGCAGATCACCCCGGCGTTCAAGTGCACCGGGATCTGGCCACGCAGCGCGGCGCAGTGGCCTATGCCCCACATCCCCTGGCCCGGCCCCAATCGGGTGGCGGAGGTCAAGGCCGAAGGGTTCAACTTGCTCTCCAAGGAGTGCTACTCGCTGACCGGCAAGCAGAGCTCGGCCGAGAGCGACGCCTGGGTGCTGCAGTTCGGGGAGGCGGAGAACCGCCTGCTGATGGGCGGCTGCCGGAACAAGTGTCTCTCGGTGCTCAAGACGCTGCGGGACCGCCACCTGGAGCTGCCGGGCCAGCCGCTCAACAACTACCACATGAAGACGCTGCTGCTGTACGAGTGCGAGAAACACCCGCGGGAAACGGACTGGGACGAGGCGTGCCTGGGCGACCGGCTCAACGGCATCCTGCTGCAGCTCATCTCGTGCCTGCAGTGCCGCCGCTGCCCGCACTACTTTCTGCCCAACCTCGACCTCTTCCAGGGCAAGCCCCACTCGGCCCTGGAGAGCGCTGCCAAGCAGACCTGGAGGTTGGCCAGGGAAATCCTCACCAATCCCAAAAGCCTGGACAAACTATAGGGCGCCTGGGACTGCTTGAAAAGCGACAACACGCGCGGGCGGGCTCTCAGACACACAGCACACGACTCCGCGAGCGGCAGCGCAGACTCGGGACACAAACTTTTATGTCGGTCACCTGAAAGGCACGGGCGACGGGCAGAAGAGCTCCGCTCATGGAGAAGCCAACGGAAAAAGAGAGCAAACCAACCAACCAACCAAAAAAGAAAAAAAGGAAAATCACACTCTTGCACAAAAGTGATCAAGTGATCGTTTCTTTCCAAACAATGTGAATTTAAAAGGTCACACAAAAGAAGCATTCGGGCTTTGCCACCACAAAATGAAACCCAAGGTACAGTTTCAAATCAATGTATAGTAGCTTTCGCCCCTTTTCCCTCTGTCCCCTCTCCTTTCTCTTTGCTCTCTCTTCATTTCGTTTTGCTTTTGGTTGCCTGAATGTTGTCACCAAGTGAAAAAACTTATTTAACTATATGTAAAATTTCTCTTTTAAAAAAAGTTTTACTGATGTTAAATGTATCTCAGTGCCAATGTCAGACTGTGCCCTCCTCTCTCCTCTCTACCCTCACCCCAAGCCCTCTTGTTGAAAACAGTAATAAAAATATTACTTTGCATTGTAATGGCCTGTTTGTGGATTGCTATTAAATGAAGGCAGGTGAGATCAGGTTTTAATTTACAATGTAAAGATGTGAACTTGAGGAACTAAGTGCTAGAAGCTTCCATTTGAACGCTGATTTGCCCATTTTAAATATAGCACACTGTGCAGAGTTAACTGTTGAAGGTCCCGGACCAAATCTTTTAAAAAGAGAAAATATTAATTTCACTCAACTACGGTGGAGGTATGTTTTAGATTTTAGGAGTCAAAATAACATCAATAGGATTGAAGAACAGCTTTTGATCCTAATTTTTAAGATAAAAAAGCATTTTCATATTAAAAAGTAAGGGGATTGCTTTCTTTTGTCACAGTTTTTAAAAACCCAACCTGTTCTCTGAAATACAATGAAATGAAACATTTATGGATCTTTTCTTAATAGTAAACAAAGTCATTTGATCCTTTTCCCTTCAACAACTTGTCTTCTTCTAGATTTGAATAATAAAACCTTAACAATTAGAGCAAGTATTCCCCAAAAAGAATGATAATGGTTGCAAACGATATTCCTCTCCCTCAGCAAATGGTGATATGAACAATTCAGATAATTAGTTCCATTTAAAAATGGCTGGATTATAAATGCCCTAGCTATGATCATTTTTATCAAATTTTAATCATTATTCTGAAGATGTTTATATGCAATTCAAACCAAAAAAAAAGTGCTGTTACCATTTTTATGGCCAAAGGGAATTTACTGGTCAAAGAATTTACAGATAGGTGAAGTACTTTCCTCCTCTTTCTGCTTTTATAAGGTATAAACCCAACATATTCATTTCAGTGTTTCAACTTTAACAAAGGTCTCTGTTTCATAGAAGGAAATACCTGACTAGGACATAAAAAAGTTAGCAAAACTGAATATATCCAAAGGCGTGGGTGTGTCTTCGATGCGAGGAGGTGGCTGTTTGCACCCCTGTATATGCAGTGGTGGGGACAGACAGAGAGCACACATCAGATGTCACCCTTTACTGTTTAATATGTATTCTCTAAATTGGCCCAGTTTTTCATTTATTGCGAATATCCACGACAGAAAATAGAAAAAGTTCTTAAAAAGCCATTTTAAAGACCAGAGGACGAGGCTGAGTGGGGGAAGGGTGTATGGAGGGATGTGAGGCAGGAGAGCAGACATGAGAGATGGACTGCAGCCTAGGTCACTGGCAACACAGGCCACAGTGGTGAGGTCCCTGGCAAACACAGTTCTATGTTCAAAACGTAAACTTAGATCTTGCCAGTTCTGAAACCATCTCTCTTCTTCCAGTGTATATTATATCTACTTTGCTAGTCTCTTTTCTTGTAGAACAAATTCACTATGATACAGACAAATACACTTTTTTTTTAGGTAATCAAAAACAAATTTACTATTAAGAAATGTATTCTCTGGGGAAAATGTTCTGAATGTTTAAGAACATTTTCTAAGCAAGAAGTATATGCTTATATGTGCACAAAATGATTTAAGGGCACAGTATTAGTTTAAATGATATCAATGGTATTCTAAGATGAACAGGTTTTTACTTCTAAAAGTATTTATAATATCAGACACATAGCTCCCTTCAACTATTCCAGGGAAAAAGTTTTGATCCCCCCCAAAAAATTTTTAGTATCTTTTCTTCTTTCTTATTTAATGGAGGTATCAGTTTTAAAAAAAGACGGAGAATGAAAAACACTACAGCAACATAAATATAAAACACCAATGTCTACACAAAATTTAAAATTATTCCAATAATTGGCTGAAAAACTATTTAATATAAATCGGCAAAAGTTTCGACTTTTTCAATAGTAGGTTTCAGTGGTACAAGGCAATTTCTACAATTAGGCTAAATAGTTTTGTATTTCATGAGAAACCGAGAAAAAAAAATTTAATGATGTTATGCAGAGACAGATCAGAGATAAATAAAAGTTATAATTCCCCCTTAGGAACAAACAAGTTCCAAGAACTTAATCTCCAAGTTTGGCAGAGGTTTGAATTTTTTAGAGCAATTTATGAGACACCTTTAGATTAAATCAGATTGTAGACATTAAGCCCTGGGTGTTCAAAAGCACACGAGAATATTCTGAACTAAATCTTGGCCTCTCTTAAACTGACAAAATACCAGAAATCAGGGTTTAAGTAAGCTTTGCTAAAGAAACTAAACACATTTTCTGGCATTTCAGTCATACGACAAGAGTAGAAAATTGTCCTAGCTGATGTAATTTCAGAATTAAAGTTTTCTCTCTGTTAGATTAGCTGAATTAACAAACTCGAAACAATGAGTTCATTACAGTCTCTGTGTCAGTCTACCAAGTCCTATCTTAATAAAGGCAGCCATATAGACACAAAGTGGTGGAAACGTGAATAAGAAATTATATGTTCGTAAAGTTTTTAAGAAAAGTATAACGGTTTCATCAAGAACTACTTTGAAATACTTGTAAATCATTGCAATTTAATGCGCATGTGAAACTCAAAAACTTCCTGGCAATAAGTTCAGAATATGTGTACACAAGTTCACACACACACAGACACACATGTGCACACACCATAAGACTGCAAAATTAATGATTTCTTTTTTAAAAAACCACTTTTGTCTCTACAGGTTGCTTAGTTTTTGTTCATTTTAAAAGAAATCGCTTCCTCTCAGAGCAAATCCTATCATTCAATTTCATGAAAATAAACCTAATTTTGACTTTATGACTGTTCCACAAATGTTTCTTGGTAAAAAATAAAGTTGCCATGGTCTGAAAAGTAATCAGAAATACATTTTAGAGGGGAAATTACATTTTCTTTTAAGAATAGGAAATTATGCAGTGCCTTGTAAAATCTACTACAGGTAATGGGAAACAGAGGTATCTCACACACGTACAAAACATGCCTGCACGCATGACGGAGCATAAGTCACAGGACGAAGCAAGGACAGTGATCTATTGGTATTATATCGAGAAAACATAAAGGCTAAACAAAATAATTCCACTCTCCATCTCACTGAATTTTGTAGCTTAATTCACCCTAGAACCTTTGAGGCAAAACCTATTTATAGACTATGTTCCCTGAGGTTCCCTTCTCTACCTCCCAATGAGCGAATGATAAATGCAATTAGGTGGAAATTGTTTTTGAATCTAAATGAACTCCAATAATCTAACTAGCTGGTAAGGGAATCTTAAGCTAAAAAAGGTAACTGCCTGAGATTTAAGCAGAGACAAGTCAGTAAGAATTCAAACTAAGCCTGTGGACTTTTACCAAGGCTGGTCTTACCCAACAGCAACCCACCATCCCATTGTAAGAGAAAATGAAACCCCCTTCCTCCTCTTCTCACCTTGGGATCGATTTTCTTGAAGTTAGGATCCTCTTCATCCACCTCGAAATAGAGTTCGGATGAGGTGACAGAAAGAGTGCCCTTCACCACAGCGGAGGGGGCCACGAGCTGGGCTGGCGTGCTCAGGCTAACAGGCCCTGGCCAAAGGCAGAGAGAGAAGTCAGGGAAAGTGAGATGACATTGTTCAAAAACCCAAAATTGAGCACAAATGGTATGTGCTCTTTTTATTCTCCCTTCGAATGGTCTGCTGACTCCTTCAACACTTATATAGTCTGTCCACCCCAAATACTTCTTTGAACATACAAAGTCAGGATTAATACGCTAAGAAATTGTAACAGACAGTGAATGGTAACAGTAAAGAACTAGGATGCAATTATTTTACAGGGCCCTTATAAAGCTGTGGTCTCATCTGGAGGTGAGAAGGTGGTTCTGCCTACATTCCATCTAGAAAACAAGCCTCAGGGCTATCCAACACCATGGCCCAACCACTAGGAGCAAGGAAGCTTCTGTAGGCGGCCAAGGGCAGAGGTTAGCTGAGAGTCTGGCTGAGGCAGGACTACAAAAAGCTCACTGGCTTATTAGTGAAGTGGGAAACGCTAACCCGTATTCGCTGATGAAGATTTGGGGCCAGGTTGACACCCCAAACCTCTTCTATAAAAACGCTACCCCATGAAAGACCTGTAAAAACACTTCTTTCCTAAAGCCTTCCTTGCCACCGTTAAATATTGTTCAGTGCTTCCAAATCTAATATTAGTGTAGTTCAGGGACTCTGGGAGTAAACAGCTGGAGGGTGGGTTTCCAAGTGAATGAATTTTTATTGGAATAATCAAATCTCCACAGGGCTTATCAAAAAGACAAATCAGACTGCTACTGAAAACAATGGATTCACTACAGATAGAACGGCGGAAAGTATATATTAGCACTAAAGCTACCCTAAGAACTAAAAATAATAATGACCGGCATACTAGAATTCTAGGCCCTTAGGTTGAGAGAGACGTAGCAAGGATTTGGAATTCCATGCCAATTCCTCCTTGTACAGATCCTTCAGGGCAAGAAAACAGCAAGGGCGAAGATGGGCACTTAGAGTTTCGAATGAATGTAGTGCTTACAAACAAGGTGCGCCTGCTCAGGTAATCAATGGGCGAATAAGTGTTTCAAAATTCGGATGAATTGACATTTCCATCGATTGTTAGAAGGGTGACGGTCCTTAATCTCACATCAATCTTAATGTGTGCCAGGAGCACAATAGGAGGATGCTCTGCGGAGATCAGGGCGGGCTTTGCCCTCTAATTCCCCACGTACACATACATTGTGTTTGCAGATGGGCAGCAGAGAGCTGCAGGACGGCCATGATTTCCCAGAGCTCATCCCTATAAATGGATGAAATAAGCAGCTATGTGTTCTTTTGCTGTCTCCTTTTGCCCTCTGTACATTAGCATGTAATCCTGAGAAGAAATAACATTTTTTCAATCACTCTCAGACATTCAATTACAGGGTAAGCAGACAGCTGCAGGAGCTAGGGCAGCCTAGGTCCCTACAGCAGACCCCTGACAATTTCCACTTCATTTCTAACCCACACCACTTTATTAGTGTGGATTACTTCTTAATCCTATTGCCATTGTCAAGATTATATAATTAAACTCCCCTTTCACCTCTATTACTATATGAATGTATTACTAGTAGCAAGAATAGGAGCAAAATAAAGGAGGAAGTGAGTAAATGGATATGAAGGAAAAGAACAGAGGAGAGCAACATCCACCTTCTCCTCTTCTCCCACCCTCGACCCCTTAAGAGTACACTCCAATTAGTTTTATTTTATTTTATTTTACTTTCCAGAGGGTTTACGGCTGTCACATGAGAACCATTTTCTGGTTTTGCTTTTCATTAGCAAGTGCGTGGCAGCACAGGTTGAAGCTATGTCACCAAATAAAAGATGTGTCTAATGCCTTTTCTCTTAAAATGATCAGAATGGAAGCCTGGGTAATTTTCACGTGCAGAAACTGCACACTCTTT